TAATACCAAGTTCATGGGTTCGGATCCCCAAACCAAACGAGCCAGCTGCCCAAAAAAAAAAAGAATGCCAAAATCATACTCCCCCGAATCCCCATTTTTTCTGTTCATCCTTCTAAAAACATATTTTGTACTTCAGTCAACTGTCTGTCATTTTCCCCTCTATTTTAGCCAGAACTTTAAGGTCTGACTTGACAACTATTTCAGGCTAAGATGTTAAAGATTTTAGAGATTTAATGGTTAGCAATCAGAGAGCACTGCTCTAACACATTAGTGAAGGAAGCACTGAGAAAAGAGATTATACTACCTATCTGCCATTTCCTCCCTCCCTTGTAACTTGATATAATTTTAAATTAAATAGTATGTTAACATGTATACAATGTTAAGTTATAATATACTACCAGGGATTGGTTAAATAAATCATGGAATGTTAATACAATGAAATGCCACGCAGCTATTAAAAATGACGATAGGTTGATCTATGTTTATTGACATGAAAAGATATTGCAGTAAGTACTGTTAAGTAAGAAACGAGGCTGATAACAAAATAATCTGACCATTGTGTATGTAAATCCTTACTTTTATAGATAAATAGTAAAAAGTATGGAAAAATAACACATACAGGTTGAATATCCCTTATCCAAAATGCTTGAGACCAGAAGCGTTTCAGATTTTGAACTTTTTCAGATTTTGGAATATTTACATACACATAATGAGATATCTTAGGGAAGAGACCCAGATCTAAAGACAAAATTTGTTTATGTTTCATTTATACCTTATACACATGCCTGATGGTAACTTTATACAATATTTTTAATCATTTTGTGCTTAGGGCTAGCCAGTTAGTTCAGTTGGTTAGAACATGGTGGTGATAAGACCAAGTTCCAGGATTCAATCTCTGTTCCAGCCAGCCACCAAAAAAAATAAAAATAATTTTGTACATAAAACAAAGTTTTGACTGCAACCCATCACATGAGATCAGATGTGTAATATTCCACTTGTGGCATCATGTCAGTACTCAAAAAGTTTCAGATTTTGCAGCATTTCAGATATTCTGATTAGGAATGCTCAACCTGTACCTACATAACAGTGACTACCTCTCAACAGTAAGAATATGGACAATTTCTTTTTTGTGTTTATTTTTTTCCTTTCTGCTTGTCTACATTTTCTATTTTTTCTAAAATAAACAATATTTGCTTATATAAAAATAATTCTTTAAGTTGTTAAAATGGAAAATAAACTTACCCAAAATTCGTTCCAGCTCTTCGCACCTCTTCACCTCGCCAACAAATTTTCTTTGGAAAGAACTTACATTCTGGTTGAGCTGAAAAAAGGATGAAAAATTTGTTAAATTTCTAAAATTTAAAAATAAATTTTAGGGCCGGCCCGGTGGCGCACTGCTACAGTGCGCCGCTTGGGAAGCGCGGCGGCGC